TGCTCTTTTATTTATGATGTTTTTAATTGCAGGCAAAAATGGTGTTAGTTGATGCAGAAAGCTCATAAAAATTCTTTTGAAGACAGGTGGAATTGCTGCATATAATACAATTCAGGAACATTGTGAACCTAGTCGATTTTACTACTTTTTTATTATTATTGTGGAACCACACTGAATATATATGTACTATAGCCAGCTTAGTAGAACCATATAAACAAACCTCTTTGGCTCTGGTATGTCTTGACCTGCTGTCAGGCCTTTCTCAGCTGACAAGACAAAATATTGCAAACATATATTTCCCAGGGCACAAAGGCACAGATAAAGCAGATTTATTGTGGTAAGCCTTTGACCCATTACAAAAGAAGTCTAGTTATTGCAGTGCATCAAATGCAAGTTCTATTGATACTACAGTCAATATTCAGTTCCTTGTGCCTTTTTCCCACCCATTCTACATAAAGCTATTCTCTTGTGAACCGGTGATGCAATATCCATGTGTACTTTGTTTTGGAAATGGCCTAATAGCAGGCTGTTTTACTTTTGATTGGTTCAGCTTGTGGAAAACCATAGTAAGAAAAGATGGATTATACATACAGGTAGTCTTTGTTTAGTGACTGCCTCATTTAATGACATTTTATTTATTTAATATTTTATAGCCTCCCGTCTTTTACCAAACTCTGGGCAGCTCCCAATCAAGAATTAAAGTTGCATAAAAAAACTATTAAAGCCATATTAAAACCATAAACATTAAAAACAACAACAAAAAAGAACTGGCGCCAAGTCAAGCTGTCAGCTTATCCTAACCCAGCATTATGGATAAGGCCAAGTCTTCAGTTACCATGGCTAAAATGTTCTGGAGCGAATCTCTTGTTATTCTTGATAATTTTAATAAAGTGAATGGAGTTATTCTAAACGCGGCTTTATGTGGAAGAGTTGGTTTTTTGTTTTCCTTTTGTTTTGCTCTATTTGTTTCCTTTGTTTCCAGAAGAGCTATAGTAATGGTTATTATTTTTTTTGCTTTTTTCAGAGAGTTTTGTCTTATTCTTGAGCTCTTATTCAGCAATAGCTAATTCCATAATTCTCAGGGTCCATATCAATAGAATTTTGGCGTAAAGTATTTAAAGTATTTGGGTAACAAAAAAACCCACTATTATTTCTGGACAAAATTCCAGAAATGTAACATTTTCTCTGCATAAGGAAAAGATATATATTTTTTAAAAAAAAAAATCAATTTCACTGGTCAAACCAGAAGTCATACTGATTATTATTTTAGATTGCCTTGTTATACACTGAACTACATTCTTGTACAAGGAGGGGAAGTGATTAGAAGAACTTGAAAAGCCTGTTTCTCCATGTCTGCTTCTTGTTTTATCATATTTATAATTTTGATCTTGTTCTCAACATTTGGTTACCAAACAAACAGTATTATATCCAAAATAAATACGTTTATATTTCTGATTAGGCTTATATACATGGAAATACAGGCCAAATTCTTACCTTGATAATAGAAGAATAGATTTAATTCCCATGAGTTCCTGTATTGCACTAAACTCTTACAGTTAATTGTATAGTTTTGTACCATTTTGAAAGACTATTGACCAGATTCAACTGTGTTTCTAATAGCAACATGTGACAAGCTTAATACAAAACAAATGTTCAAAGCTATTTCTAAAATAAATGAAAAGTCATTGCTATTTACTAAAAACACACCTGCTCATTTCATGCTGAGAGTTTCTGTGTGATACACAGTTATATTATTAGGAGGTCATTTAAAGAGCTGATCTTGTCACTGGGTTCTCATCTATGTGATCCTCTGGAAGCTAGTAAATAGCCCCAAAAGGGAAGAAACAGACTAATTCCATCATTATATCTGCTCTTTAATTAAAGTACTTGTATGAAGACCAGTTTTAGGTCATTGTTTGAATTCTCTGGAGTGCTTAGTATTTACCATTCATCTTTTTGCAGTTAGCTTTTGAAAAATATTAATAGTGCAAATTTATGCATGACTACTCAAAAGTGCCCACTGGGGCTAATTCATTTATTTTAGGGTTAGACTCAGTGGCTATAGTAGTAACCTCTCCTGATAATTCCTGAAGCAAAGATCCATTAGTCAAATTCTGTGGATTTAAATGGTAGAATATCTCACTCTGATGGTACAACACAATAAAAAACACACATATTGCTGAAATAATTATAGAAAATATTCAAGAATACTTGTGTATTCTTGGAGCTGCAGCTGATTTGAAAGATGTAGCTGTTTAAGAAGACATCTTCCAGATGATTACATGCAATTAGACCATGTAATATGTTTCAAGTTGTCTTGGAAGGAATTAGAAAGTTCTAAATTCTTGGAATATCCACATCATTGATATAACAAAAATACAATATTTAAATTAAGCATAAGTTGCAATAATGTCTGACCATTTATTAGGAGAAAATTGTCAAAAACAACAACAGCCCCAAAGCATCTCTCCCAAACATGATTGATGCCGGTGCAACTGTCTCTTGCTATTCTTGCTGCAACATGCTTAAACAACTTGGAAATGTTTCCTTGAACTCCTAGGTCAGTCATATGAAATCCGTCTACTTGAGAATAGGAAATTGGGAGAGTTCCAAGATTTAAACACAAAATATGTGAAGGTAAGGATATTTTTTTCCTGCTGCCACACATAAGAGCTACTGGATATAGATTATGTTGCTGGAAAACACTTTAATGGTACATGAGCCATAGTGGTTGTTCTGTTTCCTGATTTACGTAGAAATAACTGGAATTCCAGGGTTTTGTGTACATTAGAGATTTTCTAAATTCCTTGACTACTATGAACATTTTCTTCATAAATTATCTGTATTTAATCTGTGCCTTTCTTTCAGATTCGCTTTGCATGTCAGAATATTCCATAGTAGAATTTTAGAATGCAGTTTTTGTACATTGTACATTGTCTGCCAAGTGTGGAACCTGAATGAATCCAGGATTCTTTTGTATTTTACATTATTATTCATGATGCATAACTCATTTTTAAGGAAACTTGAATACCCATAGTCCTTTTTAAGAAATCCCCAATGTTTGAGGACTCTCAAAGAATGAATACTGTTTGAGAACTATTGATGTAGACCTTTGGTTTTCTGGTCACAAAGTTAGACATATTTTGGACTGAAATAGCATTTACATTTCTTGACTGCATCCTTATTTGCAATAGTGCAACATCTATTAAAGATCAAATAGAGGGTTACTGATTTTTTTTAATTGCAGGTATGACTAGGTAAGACTACCTTTGCACCGCTGCTGTCGCTCATAATATTGATCTATAAAGGGTAGTTTTTGACAGCATCCAGAGTTTTCCACATTCACCCCAGTGTATGATAACAGATATTTGTCGATTACTTGGTCAGCATAGCAGATCAGTAAATGACTTGAGAATGTATGACTATAATTTGGAGTTTTGCTATCACTTAAGAATTCAATGTTTCTTTATATATTGTGTTTTAGAATAAAAAAAACAAAACATCGTGTAATAAAATGACTGCATATTTCTATCCTGGCCAAACAAATGTTCATAAACTTAGTGAATTGCACTGGAATTTTAACAGGCCACTTTGCAATCAGAGGCACATCCATTCTCAATGCATCTAGTTCAAAACATACATGCAAGCCTACAGTTCATAACATGGAAATCAATATATAAACCCAGATCATTTTGGATCTCTCTCGGACTTTTCATTTGGATATAAAACTTCTAAGATCTTCTCCCTTAATAAATGGGCTGATTAAATAAAGACAAATAATTAATATCCTATATTATAAAGGCTACTCACTTTTATCTTTTTTCAGTTCCTGGAGATTTCAGAATATTGCTCTCCTTTCTATTACTCAATCTTTCTCCAAATATTTCACTTTCTTGATGTTTAGTTCTTTCAAGGATTTGTTAAAAACAAGTAGTGACCGTAGATACGATTTGCAAAGTGGGATATATCTAGCTATTTGCAGTGGATATCACATGACAAGATACTATAGTACTAAACAATACAGTTTTCCAGATTGCAGATGTATATTCTGAATAGCAATTTTATTTAATTAAAATATTCTTCTTTATGATGATGGGTGATTTCTGCACATCCACTTAAATAAATAAAATACACATTGCAAGTCTTCTATCAGCTTTGTCCTAGAAGTGGAAAGTGTATTTTTTTAAAAAAATACAAGCTTCTTGTATTATTTCATCCACTTTTCTCCCCATAGAGCATTATTCGGGTAGTTTTTCATGATCGGCGTTTGCAATATACCGAGCACCAACAGCTAGAAGGCTGGAGATGGAGTCGTCCTGGAGACCGCATCCTTGACATAGGTGAGAACTTTTCATTACGGTATCCATTGCTTCTTTCTTGGATGTATGACTTGCCCGTAAAACACAACAAATATTACAAATATACCTGTTGTAATATTTATGAATTTGGAAAACAGTTGGTTCTTCTTTATACCTGTTGCAATATTTACAAGCTGGAAAATAGTTGGTGTCTTGAAATAAACAACAAGCTTTTGCTTTTGTTAGATTTCATTCCAACATCAATGAAATGTGTGTGTGTGTTTTTGTATTAATATATTTATTTCTCACCTTTTAGGTAAAAGCTGTTAGAAAAGTGGCTTTTACATAACCATATATATTTTTGCTGATAATATAAACAAACTCTTTACCTGTGCTATGAAAGCCAGAAGAGGTATTAAATAGGGTAGGATAATGTTAGTTTCCCAGGATTTACAACTCCAAGAATCCCTTTCAGATGGAAAAGCTAAGACCAGGTTTCTTACTCTGCAGCTAGTTGTGTCAGGCTGGTCTTTCAAATGCATCTGGTGTTTACACTGCAATGTTTCTTCTCTTCAATTTTTAATTTTTTTAATATTTTAGGGGTTTTCTTCTACAGATATCCCACTGTCAGTTGGTATCTTAGATCCCAGAGCAAGTCCCACCCAGCTGAATACGGTTGAATTTCTGTGGGATCCATCTAAGAGAGCATCTGCGTTTATTCAGGTAAGGAAAGAAAATAACCCCTAAGTGGAATATGTTTTACCTCAGATCATTAGGGGGTACTATTCTTTCATGTTCTCTGGGATATATTTGGTTGAGAATATATGGGATTAAGAATCTGAGAATTTTATTTCAGCCTCTCTTTAACTTTAATTGGTATTCCTTTCCATATTGCCCAGATATCACACCAAAGCAAAAGAAATAATATAATTTAAAATGAGATTGGAATCTTATATGTTGATAATAAATTGTGAGAAGACAGTAAAAATAGGATTATACAGTGCATTTAACAATGACATTCAACCTCTAGGGTATGCACATTTTGGAATTTGAAGAATGGCTGCTATAAATATGAAATTGATCATAAAATAACACTTCTAAAGACAAGAATGTTTACTAAATGGGCAGGACAGATCACCTTAACTTATGTTTAAAAATTAATTTTCAAAAGGTGATCCCATGACCCTGGGACACTGCAGCCATCATAAGTACATGTCACTTGTCAACAGTTCGAATTTTGATCACATGACCGGGGGATATTTCAAAGGTCGTAAGTGTGAAAAATGCTCATGTCAGTTTTTTCAGTGCCGCTGTAACTTTGAAAGGTCACTACATGAACTGTTGTAAGTTGAGGACTACATGTACTGTCTTCCTAACCTCAGGAGCATGTGCTACATATGTGCCATAATTAAGTCAACTGAATTTTGTTTTCACTTTTAATGTTTTATAAGGCAAGAAAGAAACAAGACTACAAGAGAACGGCCTGGAACAATATATCTCAACATTCATAGTTTTTATATATATAATACTAACTTTATCCAAAATATGTATATATATCAGTTCAACTAATGGAAGATACAAATAGGCAATACTATGCACTTTATATTCCAATTATTGAAGATTACATAATTTTCATTTTTCTCCAAGAAGAGGAGTAAAATATTTTTTTTAACAAAAAACATTGAGGGTTAAAGGTATCTCTGAATATTAAAAGCGGCCTCACCATCTGAGCACAACAGTATCTGCTTCAGTTAACCATACTGAAGTATGGTCCAAACTACCAGTGAACTTTTAATCATTAAAAGGCAGATAATTATAGGACAAATGTTATCCTTTCCATTATTTAATGTTTGGTGGAAGAAAATAGCTGCTTTAGGGAAGAGCTGATGAAAAGAAGAATGCAATTTGGGTAATAGCATTAGCATCTCTATACTGCCCATTGAGTTTTACAGCTCAATGGGTGGTTTACAATGTCAAAGCATTATTTGCATATTGCTCCCATCTGGGTCTCATTTTACCATCATTGGAAGGCTGAGCCAACCTTGAGCTCCATCAGGATCAAACTCCAGGCTGTGGGCAGAGTTTGCCTGCAATACTGCATTCTAACCACTGTGCCGCGAGGATTCAGTAGGTACCTCCATTTAGGTAATACTGATTCCTTTCCCAGTAGGTTACATTATTAGTTCCCCACATGGGACCTGTCAAATACCTCTATTAAAAACAAAACAAAACACCCCAAATTTCAAACAGCGTGATTTGGACTTGAGCGCTAAGCACATCTCTTTTGGCTAGGTACACTGTATTAGTACGGAATTTACTCCAAGGAAACATGGAGGGGAGAAAGGGGTACCGTTCCGAGTACAAATGGATACGTTTAAACAGAATGAAAACGGGGAGTATACAGAACACTTGCATTCTGCAAGCTGCCAGATCAAAGTATTTAAGGTATGTGGCTAATTTCTTCTATTAATTTGGTGCCATAAGGAGATGCTACAAATGACATTTCTTCTCCCCCCCTTCATTATTCTTGAAAAGAGGATGGTTGGACAGATATGAGGGGATCTGTAGGCTCTCAGAAAAAGAAGGGTGTATGAAGTTTAAATTGGCACAATTATGGGTGGGGAGAGATTGGTCTGTGAAAATTACAGATAACCACATATATTTTGGATTGTTCATTAATTTTTGACATCTCTTTACTTCCTCTTGGTGATCATTACCCCGCTTTTGTCAGTTATTCAATTTCCTTTATATGGCCCCTTCAGGTCTTAGTTCACTGAACAGCTCTCTGTGCATCCAGAACTGATTCCTAATCTCTTTCCATTTTTTTTCTCATTAGAATGGGGTACATTTGTACTTCCAATATCTTATTCCCAACCTGCACTTCATTTGACATAAGGTTATCTATTCATGGGATCCTACCTAGTACTTTTCAAATTCTGGGGAAATTGGCTCTTCTGAACTCTAGGGTGAATGAATGACTGCTTCAGTTTCTATTTTTATATAACTTGAGCATGGCCACTTTCTTATTTCTTTTACTTTTCGGTAAGCACTCTCAAATGTATAGAATGAGATCTAGGAAAGCCCGTCTCCTTTTTTTCTTGTCTGGAAAATGGAAGTCAGTAAGCCCAGCTCTGAAGATCTTGCAGTGCTGACTTTCTTTGTTTCCAATGATGTTCCAGATGGTTAAAGTCTTCTATTATTACCATGTTTCTTTTCTCTGTAATTTCTGTAAGATATCTAAGAATGATTATCCACTTCTGTCTGGTTTGATAGTCTATAGCACACCATCATAATACTATTTTCATTAGTTTCCCTTCCTTGTATTCTTACAAAGTACTTCCAAATAGACTGATGCTAAAATTCCTGTCTATCAGCACATGTGTGTGCTTCCCACGTATGAGGCTACTCTTCCTCCCCTTTTGTCTGGCATATTACTTTTGAGTAAGTTATATCACTGAATCCCTACATTCCACTCATGAGTTTCATCCTACCGGATTTTGTAATGTTGACTACATCATATTTGCATTTAGCCTCCTAGTTCTTTCTGTTCATTTACTATAATTTGTGCATTTATATAAAGATTCTTGACTCATGTGACTTGGCCTATTCCTTCCTGCATTCCACTTCGGATCAATTTCCGTAATAACACGTGCTAAAATAAAGGTGCGATAAAAAACAAATAAATAAAAACTAGAAACAAAATTGAATTCTAGCTATCACCAAGCAAATTGGAATATTAGCCAATGATGATTAATATAATAGATTATATCCCTCTGAATGAAGGCAGGTATGTCTCTGTATACACGTATATGTGTTTGACTTTTGGAATGGAGAGTGTGATACTGATACTTTATTGGGATATTGTTTTATATGCAATAAAGTTAAAATTATAAAAGGAAGTTCTCCAATAAAAATCCTCTCTGCCATGAAATTCACTTGATGAATAATCACTTTAATAATTCTAGTATCTGTGAGCCTTCTAAGTTTGTTGAGTAGCTAAAGTCTAAGGTTTGCAGAAGAAAAGCAGGATTTGTCCTGCTCACCATGGTCATATCCTCTGATGCCATTGCTAATGCAAAGTATCCTTCAGAAAGGCTGGAGAAATTGCAGCACCCTCTATATATTGTTGTACTACCAGCATTTCTCTCCAGAGCCATATTGGGCAAGATTTAGAGTTCAACAACATCTGGAACAGATCCCCCTAGCCAGTTTTACAAAAATAATTTTCTATCCTATACCCCATGGCACATATACGCAAGGGAAGAATGTCCATTAAATTATGCCTCAATGTCACTTTTTTCATCTGTCAATAAAACCTTCTGCACTTTCTGTTTAACAATCCTTTGCTTAAGACAAACTAAATTTGTATGTGCTTTTATAGCCTAAAGGAGCAGATAGGAAACAGAAAACAGACAGAGAAAAAATGGAGAAGAAAACCACTCAAGAAAGGGAGAAATATCAGCCTTCCTATGATACAACCATTCTCACTGAGGTACCACTGTCCTAGAGTTGCAGTGTTTTATGGTTATTACTTGCAAAAGACTGCATATTTTATATGTATAGAAGGCAATATTGTGGAGTGTTCAATTTTGAAGTAAAATGATACATTGGGTAAAGTCTAAAACAGGACACTGTTGCATTTTTAGATTTGGTGGTGCTCAGTATGACCTGCTTGACCTGTATTCAAAACTAATATATCCTAAAATGGATGCTTTCTAAAGTTCCAAAGAGCTGAAAAGGATGTTCTGCTGGATTCTGAAATATCAGAGTAGCCAATAATAACTTTCTAAGCCAATTGAAAAGAAGTTACTTAAAGTGTCCCCACTTGGATACTGAGGTAATTTTCTAAAATCCACAGGCTTGGCCTATCATTAGATGCAGTGAAGAAGCCACTTTTGGCAATGAATTGAGGTCAAACTCCCACCCCCATTCCCTGCCACCGGAATAATAAATAATAACCACTTCTTTTGCATCTCAGGCTGCATGTACAATTATATTGTAATCTCAAAATGTATAATTCTGCAGACCTCCTCAGAATGATACTCACAATGTGCCAGGCTGGGTGTACAGAAGGAGAATGGTTGTGCTGTTGTGCCGGGGAAATAACATGTGAGAAAGAACCACAATCCTCTTGACGAGTACCTCCACTGAATGAGAGGGATTGCTCGTAGAAACAGGGCCTTAACAATGGGGCATCCAGATTATAGACGGACTTCCCTAGAGAGGTTTACTGATGTATATATTCTTTCAGCCCAGAGTGAAGGTCTTCTGATGATCTCAGTTGTTTAAATCTTTAAAAATGATTTTTTGATCTTATTATGTTATCCTCTGCTTACTTCTACCTTCAAGATATTTTTCCCTTCAATTCTTCTAATTCATTTTAGATTTTGTGTTTTATTTGTGCAGGTCATTTCATTTCATTATTGGGCAATTTAAGCAAAACAAAAATAATAATCAGATCAATATGCAGATATTTTCTCGGTCTGCAGGAAAGTTTTGGTCTCATTCTTCTGTTGAGAATTAATTGAATGTTGACATTTTAGTCTTAAAGTTCACATTGCTGCAAGACCCAGATTAAACAAATATTGAGAAAGTAGGGCAAAGTTAATGTTTAAAAAAGAGCTGAAACAAATTTGCTGTTTCATTCATAGAACCTTTTATATCTGTCTGTGTCATTTACCCAGCACATTATGTGTCCTAATAGTTGAGGACAATGAGACCTCTGCATGGAAAGTGACCTAGTTTTAAAAGGACTATCAGATTAAGGTGGCCTGCTGTTGATGAGCATAACCTTTAGCATCTTAAAGCAGGAAGCCATATAGTCCTTGTTCCAAAAAAGTTAAATATTTACTAATGTTTGTATTTACTGTGAAGAGAAAACTTAAGTTAATGCATAGGTTGCCTGTTGTATCACTGCAAATGAATGGTGAAATCCTTTTAGCTGTCCCAGCTGTGGCACCCCTTACAGCTACTAGCAAATCCACAGTATGGATAAGGGATAATATCTTAAGCATATTTCTTAAGCATATTTCAGAAGCACAGCTGTAGGGAATTGGGGCTGGAGGAGAAACAGGAAACATCCAGCTGCACAAACATTTACTCTTAGAACACTAGATTCTGCTAAGAATTCAATTATATAACAGTATATAATAATTTAGCATAGGTTTAGAATTATTTCTGTGTAAAAAGGGAGTGGATAGACTTGTAATAGCTTTCTTGTAAGACCCATTCTGCATATATTAAGTATAACATGGTTATATGTAGTAAAGAGGGCTTGAAATGTATTACATTCTATATTTATAAATTGGCAGCCCTTTTCCCCATTGAATATACAGTTGAAGTAGGGCTTTTAATTTGTTCCACCACGTACAAATCTACAGTGCTAGGAAACTAACTGTAGGTTAATTCCCTGCTTATTCTTTTGAGTAACTACTTGAATTGTAGTGCATATATGATCATATATGATGTTGGGAATATGCATGTTGGTGATAATAAATATATTTTTGCTATTGATCCAACAAAAGCTAGTTTTAAAATAGAATGAGATTATATTTTTGGATTCTCTTTCTCAACACATTGGTTTTGTTTGCACAGTGTTCCCCATGGCCAGATGTGCCTTATCAAGTGAACAACACTCCATCTCCAAATTACAACAGCTCTCCAAACAGTTTCAGCCTTGGAGATGGGTACGTGATAAATATTTTTGTCTTTTCTGCTGACAGAGGCATCCCAGTTTTGAGATTTTATGATTGTGTGTTCTAAACACTTCCGAATGTAAAAGATTAGGAAGCTTAACCTGGCTTTCAGGCCCAGCTTAATGTTGATGGACTGAGATTGTAAGATCCATTCCTCTGCAGCTAAACTCTTGCACAACTTTGTCTTATTTTAAAGCTATTTACATAAGAGAATATACGCAAGAGAGTTTTTAGACAATTTTTTCCTACTATTAGCTAGGAGAAAAGATAATGTCTTAATTGTCTGTTCTGTCTATTCCTTCTTCAAGGATCTTAAGATACAATATGCAACCTATTCCCTCCATTTTAGCTTGGTAACAAAAAAAATGTGTTGGGCTAAGGCAGGGGTCCCCAACCCCCAGTCTGTGGTGGACCAGTACCAGGCTGCGGCATGCCAGCAACTGGGCCGCACAAACAAGCAAAGCCCCATCTGTGGGGTGCAGGCAGCACACAAAACCATGCCCCCTCTGGTCCATGGAAACACCTCTCTCCACATAACCGGTCCCTGGTGCCCAAAAGGTTGGGGACCTCTGGGCTAAGGGATGTTGGTTTGCTTAGTTCTGTAGCAATTTTTAAGGCTAAGTGAAGAACTGGACATGATTTCCCTCAGTCTGATCTATAAACCACCTCTGGATCTCAAGATCCTGTCATCATAAATAAATATGAATCACTTCAAACCTTGCTAGAATAGTGATCTACAATAATAATGATTTTATTTATATATTTATTTTTAAAATACGACCACCCATCTTATGAGCCATCGCTCTCAACAATACTAAAACCCCAGAAACAGTAACAGAACCTGACATTCTCTGACATATCACCAAATATGGACCCTGAGCACCAATCTCCTCCTATCTCCATGCTTGTAGAAGAACCAGCTGTTTGTGGGGAGAAAAAAGCAAAGGTCTGCCAGATCCCAAGGAAAAGGTGTTCCACAGAGTAGGGGCTGCTATGAAAAAGGTTCTATGCTTTGTAGGACCAGCTAGATGACAAACTTTGAGGGAAGAGACCTAGCTCATGCCAAAGCTTTTTCTACCACTTGAATGAGATTTAGCTCCAAGTAATGCCGATTCCTTTTTAAAAATCAAGACACAGTTTAGATGCTTGATATTTTATTTTAAAACTGTATTGTAGTCATTAACCAGCAAAGATGCTTGAGAAGACTCAAGCAGCTCTTGTTCAAACAAGGAGCAGGTGTCTTTGCATTTATACACGGCCCAAATTTAGAAAAAAATAATAATAAGATTCATTTTAAATGTTTTAATGTATCAACCAGACTGTATGGTGGAAGGGGTGGTGGGGAATGGCCAACTTTATTAAATGAGAGATTTAAAAAATGCTTTCTTTTTTCTCAACTCTATACATTTTTTTAGCAACAGTTCTCCAACTCATCAGGTGGAGGTCCTGCCTTCCAGCAATGATGTAAGTATTTGGGATCGTGTTAATGTGGTGCTTTTCTTTTTTAGGACACTGATGAACAGTTCATTTCAAGACCCTCTTATTCTTTTTGCAATGTAGCATCTCCTTCCCTCTGCTTCTATTCAAGATGCTCAGCAGTGGCTTCATCGAAATAGGTTTTCTCAGTTCTGTAGACTATTTTCAAGTTTCTCAGGTATGTGTATTTAATGTATGCTTAAAAGGGGTACACCTCTACTTTGCATAGGCCGTGTGTTGACATTTCTGCAGGATAGTTTAACTAGGCATATTTGTATACAACGGCTTTCTGATGACTACGTGCAACACGCCTCCTTTTCTATCCCCGCCCTCCCTGTTTTCTAATTAGCATGTATGGTCAGCAAGCATCTGTCATAAAACATCTGTGAAAGGTGGGTCTGTATTCTTGGATATATGTTCTTGGAAGGAAAAAGAAAATCATCTGTGCTTGAAATGTATAGGTGCCGACTTACTGAAGATGTCCAAAGAAGACTTTGTTCAGATTTGTGGCCCAGCTGATGGCATTCGACTTTTTAATGCCATTAAAGGAAGGTTTGTTATAATCCTTGTTCTTATACCAGTCATAGTGAGTTGAGATATGTGAATATTGTGGAAGACAGAGGCCCAAATTTAATACTGTAACTCTGCATCATCAGTCATTAGTACTGCTACTTGTAAAAATCGCAGATGTCCTCAGATCCAATCTGGGTCAGTCACCGGGACCAGAAATTTTGTCTTCTGAGCTTTTGGACTTCTGTTGGAGTCCATCTTCAGGGAACGTCTCTCTAGCCTAGTTCTCTGAAGATGAGCACCAGCATGAATCTGAAAGCTCGGAAGACAGAAACTCTGGTCTTCCAGTGACTGGCCCAGATTGGATCCTGCAACATCATCCTGGGACGTGTAGATTTGCCTTCATTCGTGACTCTGCTAACACCTTACTGTTCAATTACAGCATATAGAAACAGATTTATTGATACAGAATACAGAATAACAGAGTTGGAAGGGACTTTGGAGATTTTCAAGTCCAACCCCTTACTTAAGCAGAAGTCATACTGATCATATCCTTGGATAGTCATGTTAAAGTTTTTGATTAAGGTTAGAGAACTGTACGTTTGCTTACAATGCCAAAACTGAAAAGAAAATTTTGTTTTGTCTTTAGGAATGTAAGGCCTAAGATGACCATTTATGTCTGTCAAGAACCTGAGCAAAATCGGTCTCATCTTCATCAAAAACGAGAGAATGGAGATAGTAATCTTTGTAGTAAGTATCACTTGGGCAGAATCTGAGCTGTTTCAGAACTTTTATTATTCATTTATTAACTATTTGCTTCACATTTATTATCTTGCTTCTGCCCTATTGCACTTTCCATGACCAAATTCTGTAAAGAAAAAAAAAAAGAAATGAAAGGATTTTTTCCCCCATCTTTGATCCATTGTTCCTATAGTATCTGAAAAATTCTAAGCACATCTAACAGGTCCCCAGTGATGTGAAATTTGTCAGGCAGGCAGGTTTCATGTCTTCATTAGGAGAACTCTGTCTATAATGTTAACTCAGTTCTGAATTAAATGGCCTCCAAAAGCGATATATGGCAAATCACCAAAATGAGATCACAACTAAGTATTGTGGTTGATTTTACCGCTATTCCTATACCCCTATTTATAACAACAATAAGTCTCCACAGTGTCTGCTCCTTCTCCTGATAATAGAAGGATTCTTCTCATGGCCCAGTCCCCTTGTAAAGTAGATGAGTTGGTTTTAAGGTTTAAACATTCAACTCAAAGGGCAAGCAGTTATTGCATCTAATGGTTTAGGTGCAAAATTGAAAATGGAATCAGTAATTGACCATATCTACAGGATCTCTTTCCGAGGGCTAGACATGGGTTTGTAACCCTGCAATTACCTTTTGAATCACATAGTGGTCTTGGAAAACTTACTTTTAAAAGAGGATTTTGGCTATCCCTGGAAGACATACAGCATCACAAGACTTCTTGTCTGCCCCCTGCATAACCTTTGAAAAGTTGTGTATCAACCAACATGATGTCTGATTTTCAACACTCTTTGTCAAGTTTTGGATGAATGAAATATAGAGAGGGGCTTTGTATCATATGAAAGGCAAAAAGCATATCCCTCAAGACACAATAAATAATTTATAGGCTGATCTTGTGCAAGTAATGTGTTGGCCTGTAGCAATTAACTGCATTAGCTAGGATTATTTTTTTATTTTTGTTTATTTTTATCCTATCTTTATTATTTGTATAAATAACTCAAGCTGGGGAACATACCTAGTACTTCTCTTATTTTCCTTACAACAGCAACCTTGTGAGGTGGGTTGGGCTGAAAGAGAGTGACTAACACAAAAGAGGGTCTCGCATAATCACATGTCACCTGCAACTTGCCAGTATGTTCACTCCTGAAAGTTGGTCTTTCTCCAATACTGTTGCAGTATACCATGCTATCTTCTTAGAAGAGTTAACAACCCTGGAGTTGATGGAGAAGATTGCAAACTTGTACAGTATTTCCCCACAGCAGATAAACCGGATCTATCGGCAGGGACCTACAGGGATCCATGTGTTAGTGAGCAACGAGGTAAGAGTTTTCACTAGAATATTTTGCACCTGATACTAGATTTTGATGTTCAAGGCATAACATTAACTTATTTGTTCCTTCTGAATTAGGTTCCTTTCAAATTACTTAGCTTCAAAACATTAAAATGTCTTAATCACTCTTTACTACTTTTTTAAAATGTTCATCAACTTAAGGTGCCTTGATCCTTGA